TGTCTTCTTCTGCATGTTGTTGGACTCCAGCTGCCATCAACCCTAGCTGGCATAGCTAGTGATGAGAGAGGATGGTAGTTGTAGTTCAAGGACATGTAGAGGGCCATACATCCCTTATCCCTGGTTTAGCACTGTGTAGATGACTACGCCTCTCACTCACATATTCAGTGAATGCATGAGAGTGAAGTGGGATTATGTTGAGTAACCATGCCCCCACCCTGAAAAAGGGGCTGTGTATGTACAGTTGGACCAAATTTATATGGAGCAGTCACAGGCACAAATACATGAAAATTTTGCCACAAGATACAGTAGGAGCATTGGGAAGCTTGGCTAGTAGTCCTGCTGCCCTCAGAAGCATTCTCTGAACTCATGGGAAGAGTTGTAGTGCAGCATATTTGCAGTGTTTCAGTTTGGGAAAACTTGTAAGCTCACAGACCAAGCTGAGAGAAGAAACACCATGAGCAAACATTTCAGTGACAGTCAGACCTACGTTTCTCTGAGCTATTCCTCTTACAGAAACTCTTTGTATTGCTCATATTTAGAGTTTTAAAACAATCGTATTGAGACTATGTATGTTTGTGTGGGGTGTTTGTGTATGTGTGCTTTTTGGCAAGTATCAACCTTGATATTCTTCTTCTTTAATTTCTCAGTGAAGATCCATATTCATCCATGAATAATAGAATTACTTTTTTATGAGCATGACTAATAAATACAGAAGTGAGATTCTCTTTTTGTTCCTTTCTAAATGCTATTGATTTTTCCATTTTCATTTATAAGCATTATGTGGAAAGGAAATCTGGGGAAAAATTCTGAACATTCATCTATAAACTCTTAACTCTGTAAATCAATAAATCTTGTAACAGCTTATAATTTCAGAGATCACTGCTAAAGAGACGCTTGGGTAGTTTTCCTATATAAACTCTGTAACCTATATGTTAGGATTGAGCTATGGGGCGAGGAGCTGTAGGATAAGCCAGTAGTTAGGATCAAAGAGCAAGTCACAACTGATGGGCAAATAAAGAGGTAGAACCAAAAATAAAACAAACCCCCAAAGACACATGAAAACTATTTTATTCCTTCCTGTCCACAAGGCTGCAGTGAACAGCACATGTGGGAAGAGTCAGTCCAGGGGCCCATTCATATTTCACAATCAGTCATTTTATTTCACTTTAACTGCCATGATTCTGTCCTATGGAATCATGGGATTTGCAGTTTAGGGTCTTTTAGAATTCTCAGCCAGAGAGTGGTAGTGGCTTAATAGACTACAAATCCCAGGATTTCATAGGATGGGAATAATAATGATACTGTTGTGTAGCATGAACAGGCCCCTTGGGCATGAAGGTATTTCATTTTGAGGGCTGACACCTGTGGTTCAGTGGTTCACCATTTATGGCAGCCATGTACAGATTCATGTACATAATTCTGTATTGTTTGATGCCATATTCTTCTGGGATGTCTTTTCCACCATATTTTCTTTGCTGCTTTCTTTGGTTATAGCTGTCCTTTTTCCCTTGTGTCCTCTTCCCCTGTTGCCAATCACCAATTTACTTTCCTTTTACTAATGGTTATAGCTGCTAAATGTGTTCTCTAACTCAGTGTGAGATAAGAACTTTAATTCTCTTCGTTTCGGGTTTTTAGGTTCTTGATGGTGAAACAAACAGAATTGCATTCTTTGGTTATTCTATCACTGGAAATATGGATCTAGATAAAAACTCCTACCCTGACATTGCTGTTGGATCCCTTTCAGATTCTGTATCTGTCTACAGGTTTGTTGGCTTACAAATTAAAATTATAAGAATATACACTTATATCACAGTTAACAAAGTAGAGGTTTTCCTGACCTTTACTTCTTTAACAGAAAGTTTAGTATTAGAGGTAGAAATAACATGGAAAGAATAGGGATAGGTTCCTGCATTACAAAAAAGAAGAGCAGTTCAACATGTTTCAACAAAGTTTTTAATTCAAAACTAACTTTATGCAAATGAAATGAAACAACCCCAAAACATAAAAACATTTTGAATATTTTAGAAACCACTTGAAAACTTTTCCCAAAATGTATTTCAGGATGATATTTTCCCCTTTCAACAGGCTCCATTTTTCTTATGATTTCCATTTTTGTAGCAGAATATATAGATCTATCTCTTTTCAACATGCCAGAGTAGCTGGTGAGGCAGGCTAATCTGCTTTCCCCTTTCCTTTCTGTTTTACTCTTCCCAAATGCTTAGCAGTTGACCTTGCCTGTTGTATGTAAGCACACACAGCTACAGCAGGATCGCCTAGAGTAGGATCCCATTCTTTCCAGGCCAGTCTTTATTGCATTGTTTACTGAAGACATGCTGTTGTAACTGAAACATTGAAAGGTTTTTTTCAACCCTTTTTCGCCGTCCTCCCAATGCCAGTGCTGGGGGAAAATGCAGATAGACAGAAGACAATGAAAGAGGAGAGATGAGGTGGCCTCCTGCAAAAATACTTTATGAAAATGAGTTTCTTTGTTAGAGGCTTTGTTAACTGAGGTATGCCTGCAATTAAACACTTATAGTTAAGATATACTCATCCCTCCATATTTGTGGCTTTGACTTCTGCAGATTTGATTATTCATGGATTTTATTAATATGATATTCATGGATTTTATTAATAGGTCTTCCAGCGCAACTGTATGGCCAACTTTAACCAAAAGTCTCACTGAAGGACCTAGAGATTCCTAGAAAGAACACTCCACTAGGCCTTTGTAGCTCCTCCAGCACAATTCTGTGGTCAGTGTCTGGCAGATGTTGACCACAGTGTTGCACTGGAGGACCTAGAGATTCCTAGAGAGGCGTTCTCTCAGGTAAAAACATAGTGTTTTTGTTATTTGCAGTTTTTCCACATTCACAGGGGTCCTGTGCCCCTAACCCCAGCAAATGTGGAGGGATGTGTTTATATGCAAAATTCAGTGCTTCTTTTAACTATTTGCTGTTGTGTGCCTGCAAATTGTTTCCGACCTATGGCAACCCTACTGTGAACCTATCGTGGAGTTTTCTCTGCAAGATTTGTTCAGAAGGGATTTGCCTCTCTCTGAGGCTTAAAAGAGTGTGACTTACCTAGGTTCACCCAGTGGATTTCCATGGCTGAGGAGGGATTTGAACCCTAGTCTCCAGAGTCTCAGTCCAGTGCTCAAACCACTACACCATGCTGTCTCCCTTCTTCAGCTACATACCAGCATAATACACTTCCTTTTACATAGTGTCAAGAATGTAAAGGCTCTTTCTTGTCTTCTTCTTTCCCCTCAAAATAAAAGATCGAGACCTGTGATAAATATTAAGAAAACTATTAAGATATCTCCGAACAAAATTGACCTGAACATGCAGAACTGCCGTGAGCCTAGTGGAATTTGGTAAGCCATGGACCTTTTCATCCTTATTTCTAGTTTAAGCAATCTATTGTGTACTTCAGAGGAATGAAAACCTCAGTTATATAAAGTATTGCATCCGAGGCAAAGTGTGGGAAAGTCACTTTTTGAACTACAACCCCCACGATCCCCCAGCCAGTGGTGGCTGTGGGATTCTAGGAATTGTAGTAACAAGAATTAACTTTCCCATTCTTTGAGCAGAGGTTATTGTGTTTGCTTGCTAATACTGTCATTATTCCCTTGCTAAGGTTGGAGTAAGCAAAAGCAGTATCTCTTCCTCCCAAGTTGCTTCGCTGAGAAACCTGAAGTGTATGGGGAGAACACTGCTTCCTCCCCTCAGTTCTGGTCACCAGGTTTGAGGGGCTCCAGGTCAACATTCTTTCAGTCACTCTCCTATCTTTGTCTCTACTGTTACAATTGCCCATTCATTTCCCCTCCATCCTTGGGTACAACCCAGACACTTGTAGAAGAAAATGGCTTTATAGGAAGGGGTTGTGATCCCTCAAAAGAAATTTTCCCAAGCATTGAGGTGTGCTGGAAGGGGACGTAATCCTAATTTAGATGCAGATCCACTGGTCCCATTAACTGGGCTCCCCATGAGAGACACACATACTGCACCAGTTCCATTCAGTCCTGACATTGTCAGCAGCATGATGCCCACAGTGGGCCTGTTCCCATGAATGGACTTGCTTCCCCTTTGCTGCCATTTCCTTATCACCTTTTTTTGGGCCACAGTCCACACAATTGCTCAGAGAAGAGGGCAATACAAAGGGACAAAGGGAGGAGTCTGCTGCTTCTACTTCTCCTCTTCTTGGTATTTTCATTTGCTTAGTGGGGATAGGTATGCAGACAGTAAGAGCAAGGAGGAAGAAGAGCAGCAGAGCCAGTAGGATCTAGCAGTTGTCAGGGGGTCCTGCTGTGTTGGGGGCATCAGGAGTTGCCCAGTGGTGCCTACCCAAGATGCTGGCCCTGTGTGCTACAGCTCCTTCCCTACCAACTTAATTTCATGAATATTGGTGCAGAAGATCAACCTAAGGGATTCCTCCTAAGGGACATCAATTTCTTGTGCTGGAGAGAAAAGCGCTGGTATAGCTCCCATGGAAGTGCCATGTCCTTAGACAGAAGACAAGTTTACAACAGAAAGAGCTTGGCTAGCAAAGAAAAACCCTGGAGCATTCCATTGCTTCCTGAGCTTCCAACAACTCTTAATGTAATGTCTTCCCTGCTGAGCTTTCTTTTTAAAACCAGTTCTACATTCTTGAATTCTTACAGTATGAACGTGACAGCCTGTTTTGAATATACAGCAAAACCCAAGGACTTCAACCCCAAAATAAGTAAGTTATGGTAACAATGCTTGCCTATTGCTAAGTCTTATGTATGGATGGTTTCAGGAAATTGGTTTTCTCATCCTGCATTATTTGTGTGTGCGTTCTACTGTCATGTGAAGGCTATTCAGTACATCATGTGAATGTCCATAGTGGCTCTTCATATGACACTGTGATCTTTTGAAGGGGGTTTAATATAAAGATGATGCTTTTCCCAGCTCCTATGCTTTTCAGGGTCCAGTCTCCTGATCAAAATAGAGTGGTTAGGATGGTTGTATATGCAGATATTTATTTATTTATTTAATTCCAATGACTATGCTGCCGCATATTTTTTAAGAACAATTAAATAATAATGAAAATGTCTCGCATTCAAATAATATTAGTTAGAAATAAATATGATAAATAGCAATTATGCATCATTAATAATAATAATAATAAATTATTTTTATCCCGCCCCTCTGCAACGCAATCGGGGCGGCTTACAACATTAAAAACATCCAAACAATCATTCCCTAACCCGCCTCCCACCCCCCGTAAAACAGTATTAAACTAAGCAAAATATTAAGAACAAGTAATAATAATAAAATAATAAAACATTAGTGTTGTGTGTCTTCAAATTATTTTTGACTTATGGGGACCCTAAGGCAAACCTGTCATGGGATTTTCATGGCCAGATTTGTTCAGAGGAGGTTTTGCCATTGTCTTCACCAAGGCTGAGAGAGTGTAACTTGCCTAAGGTCACCCAGTGGGTTTCCATGGCTGAGCTGAGATTCAAACCCTGGTTTCCTGGGCCATAGTCAAACACTAAAACCACTATGTCACTCTGGTTTTCACAATTGTGCATCAGCAGATAGAACTATGGGCCCACTCAAACTGTGATTCCCCTTTTACTCCCATGGTTCCATCCGACAGGATCCTGGAGTTTTTTGTTTCCACAGGATGCAGCCATGGCAGTTAAAGTGGAATTTTAGTGCTATAATTACGTAGTGTGGATGGGCCCTGTGTCTTGGATCAAAATCATGTTTTCTCAAATACCTCTTACTGCATATAACATGTAAAATATAATTTTGCCATATTTCTTTTCATTTTCTTCATCTATCATTCCTAATAAATGTGTGGTAGGTTCCATATTCATCCTAATATTCAAAAAATGTTTCTATTTCCGTATGTATTTGTGACCAAAACTTTTTCGTTCTTTTACATTCCCACCACATATGCATATAAGTATCCCTGTTTAGAAAACAGTGTGATAGCTCTTAAGGAATAAAAAAGGAAAACATATGATACAGAGAAAAATTACATTACAAGTAAAGTAAGAAAAATATTGCTTGATCTTGGATAATAAGTTGAAATGTCCAGGTCTTATATACAGTGTGGGATGGGTAAAGAGAAATGATATGATAAATGTAAATTAAAGTATAAAATGGATTTAAGAGTGATCTATTGTTGTAGGTAATAAGAAGAAATAATGAGAATATTGGAAAGTCAGAGATATTATTAAAAAAAATTATATTCATAGTAAAGGAAGGGAAGTTATTTTTATGTTTGTCTTTTGAGTACCATATTTTCTGGCGTATAAGATGACTTTTTGACCCTGGAAAAGGGTCTCAAAAGTCGAGGGTCATCTTATACGCCGGGTAGAGAAGGAGGAGGGTGAGAACGGGGAGTGGGG